GTCACCATCAGGCTCCGGTGGTGCTACAGTAACCTCCACTTGTTCCGATTTCAAACTCGCGAGACCGAAATCAGCAATTTTGGCGGAGAAGAGTTGATCCAAGAGAATATTGCTAGGCTTTATATCCCCATGAATCACAGGTGGTTCCAGTCCGTGCAAGTGTTGGATCCCTTCCGCAATATTAATCGCAACCAGAAATCTCCGATTCCAATCCATAAGCTCCGGGCATCTCCGGTGAAGCAAAGCGTCCTGGAGGTTACCATTGTCCATGAGTTTGTAGACGAGAAGCAAACGTTGTCGTTTTGTGTCGTGTGAGAAGCCAATAACAGGGACTACGTGAGGCGAGTCAAGCTTTGAGGCGAAGAACAACTCGTTCTGAAACTCTGCTTCTCCTTGAAGAGATCCTGAATCCATTACCTTAACGGCTACTTTCTGGGCAGACGGAGAGACAGTTCCGCGGTACACGGCGCCGAATCCGCCTTGGCCTAGCCGATTGGCCGGAGAGAAAGAGCCGGTGGCGCGGCGGAGAGTCCAATATGAAAACTCACGTGGCGGAGAGGAAATGTCTCCGGCCGTCGTACGTGACGAGCGCTTCCGGCTAATTTTGCAGAAGCAGGCGGAGAAAGTGATGAAGAGAGAGAAACCAGCGCCGGCTCCTGTTGCCGCGAGCGGTGGAAAGACTCGCGTTGAACTATCAGCTTCGAGCTGTAGCTTCGCCGGAGCCGGCGCTAAGATTGTTCGTGACGGCATAAGAATATAATGAACCATAAAGAAGAAAGAGAGAGAGAAAACTAAAAAGTTCGTTTCTTTTATTTCTCCGTTCAGTTTTCAGATTCAGTTGGAAGAGAGATGTTGCGAAATTATAGATTTTGCATCTTAATTGATGGTTTACAAAATTCTAGTTGGTTAAACCAAATCTAGACCGGAGCGAAATCACAAATGCTTATTTTCAATCAATCTGAATTTCTTTCGAAACGAAATACATATTTTTACAAGTTAAACTCGAATACTAATTCAAACCAAGCCAAACTGAAACTAGATCTGAGTTCAATTTGGTTCTTTTCACTTTCTGTAGAGAATAACCGAACCGGGTTAGACTAATTTAATGCTCCACTGTTGCGTGGCTTTTGATTGACATTTAATTTACTAACGTGTATATATATGTGTATTGACGCGTATAGATAATAATGTAATTTCAAATTTAATTGTGAATAAAACAGGTATTCACGTGCGGTGGAGTGGGGTAATCAAAGAACACCATGTGGAATTTGTCTAATTAGTTTGGTATGATTAATTCTTAAATAATTAAAGAAATTACTTGGCATAGTGAAAACGGCACGCAACTTTTATCGTATTTGATAAAACGGGCCGACTTCTTAGAAACCACACGGGCTGCTGTCAAGTTTTCATCACCATCTAAGTTGGATTAGGTATTTTGTTTACTTTTTTAGTCAACGTTTTTCTTTGTTGGCGTTATGTTGTTCGACGTTTTACTTGTGTAATAATAGCATAAGACAAAACGCGTCTTCATCATATTAAAAAATTATCAACGTTTCTATCGTATACTAGATTCATATCCACGCATTGTGTGGGATTTTAAATTCAAATGGCTAACAATACAAATAATTATATATAAAGTATTTATTTTAGCTTTAAACAATAATTTATATGTATAAATTAAACGATAAATATACAAAATAAATATTGTTGAGAATATTTTTTTATAATGAATCGTTTAGTAACACATAGTAACAAAAGTTAATTGTATGTAAATCTCACGGGAACAGAAACAATTTAAGTGACGATCGCACGACCATTTATCTTGGAGAGAGATCTTACACTAAA